TGGTAGATGGGTAGGGTTACTATGGTGGATGGGTAGGGTTACTATGGTGGATGGGTAGGGTTGTGGTGGATGGGTTGGGTTACTATGGTGGATGGGTAGGGTTACTATGATGGATGGGTAGGGTTGTGTTGGATGGATAGGGTTACTATGGTGGATGGGTTGGGTTACTATGGTTGATGGGTAGGGTTACTATGGTGGATGGGTAGGGTTATTATGGTGGATGGGTAGGGTTACTATGGTGGATGGGTAGGGTTGTAGATGGGTAGGGTTGTGGTGGATGGGTTGGGTTACTATGGTGGATGGGTAGGGTTACTATGGTGGATGGGTAGGGTTGTGGATGGGTAGGGTTGTGTTGGATGGGGAGGGTTGTGGTGGATGGGTAGGGTTGTGTTGGATGGGTAGGGTTGTGGATGGGTAGGGTTACTTTCGTGGATGGGTAGGGTTACTATGGTGGATGGATAGGGTTGTGGTGGATGGGTTGGGTTACTATGGTGGATGGGTAGGGTTACTATGATGGATGGGTAGGGTTGTGTTGGATGGATAGGGTTACTATGGTGGATGGGTTGGGTAACTATGGTGGATGGTTAGGGTTCCTTTTTGCGGATAGGTAGGGTTACTATGGTTAATGGGTATAGTTACTATGGTGAATTGGTAGGGTTACTTTGGCGGATGGGTAGGGTTACTATGATGGATGGGTAGGGTTGCTATCGGGGATGGGTAGGGTTACTATAGGGGATGGGTAGGGTTACTACGCTGGATGGGCAGGGTAACTGGGTAGGATTTGTAGGGTTACTATGGTGGGTGGAAAGGGTTGCTATGGTGGTGGAAAGCGTTTTTTTGTGGGAGGAAAGGGGTGCTATGGTGGGAGGAAAGGGGTGCTATGGTGGGAGGAAAGGGGTGCTATGGTGGGAGGAAAGGGGTGCTATGGTGGGAAGAAAGGGGTGCTAAGGTGGGAGGAATGGGATGGGGAGGGTTGTGGTGGATGGGTAGGGTTGTGTTGGATGGGTAGGGTTGTGGTGGATGGGTAGGGTTACTTTCGTGGATGGGTAGGGTTACTATGGTGGATGGATAGGGTTGTGGTGGATGGGTTGGGTTACTATGGTGGATGGGTAGGGTTACTATGATGGATGGGTAGGGTTGTGTTGGATGGATAGGGTTACTATGGTGGATGGGTTGGGTAACTATGGTGGATGGTTAGGGTTCCTTTTTGCGGATAGGTAGGGTTACTATGGTTAATGGGTATAGTTACTATGGTGAATTGGTAGGGTTACTTTGGCGGATGGGTAGGGTTACTATGATGGATGGGTAGGGTTGCTATCGGGGATGGGTAGGGTTACTATAGGGGATGGGTAGGGTTACTACGCTGGATGGGCAGGGTAACTGGGTAGGATTTGTAGGGTTACTATGGTGGGTGGAAAGGGTTGCTATGGTGGTGGAAAGCGTTTTTTTTGTGGGAGGAAAGGGGTGCTATGGTGGGAGGAAAGGGGTGCTATGGTGGGAGGAAAGGGGTGCTATGGTGGGAGGAAAGGGGTGCTATGGTGGGAAGAAAGGGGTGCTAAGGTGGGAGGAAAGGGGTGCTATGGTGGATGGGTAGGGTTACTATGGTGGGAGGAAAGGGGTGCTAAGGTGGGAGGAAAGGGGTACTATGGTGGGAGGAAATGGGGGCTATGGTGGATGGGTAGGGTTACTATGGCGCGAGGAAAAGGGTGCTAAGGTGGGAGGAAAGGGGTGCTATGGTGGGAGGAAAGGGGTTGTATGGTGAATGGGTAGGGTTACTATGGTGGATGGGTAGGGTTGTGGTAGATGGGTAGGGTTGTGGTGGATGGTTTGGGTTACTATGGTGGATGGGTAGGGTTACTATGGTGGATGGGTAGGGTTGTGTTGGATGGGTAGGGTTACTATGGTGGATGGGTAGGGTTACTATGGTGGATGGGTAGGGTTGTAGATGGGTAGGGTTGCGGTTGATGGGTAGGGTTACTATGGTGGATGGGTAGGGTTGTAGATGGGTAGGGTTGCGGTTGATGGGTAGGGTTACTATGGTGGATGGGTAGGGTTACTATGGTGGATGGATAGGGTTACTATGGTGGATGGGTTGGGTTACTATGGTGGATGGGTAGGGTTACTATGGTGGATGGGTAGGGTTACTATGGTGGATGGGTAGGGTTGTAGATGGGTAGGGTTGTGGTGGATGGGTTGGGTTACTATGGTGGATGGGTAGGGTTACTATGGTGGATGGGTAGGGTTGTGGATGGGTAGGGTTGTGTTGGATGGGTAGGGTTGTGGTGGATGGGTAGGGTTGTGGTGGATGGGTAGGGTTACTATGGTGGAATGGTAGGGTTACTATGGTGGATGGGTAGGGTTGTGGTAGATGGGTAGGGTTGTGGTGGATGGGTTGGGTTACTTTCGTGGATGGGTAGGGTTACTATGGTGGATGGATAGGGTTGTGGATGGGTAGGGTTACTATGGTGGATGGGTAGGGTTACTATGGTGGATGGGTAGGGTTACTTTTGCGGATAGGTAGGGTTACTATGGTTAATGGGTATAGTTACTATGGTGAATTGGTAGGGTTACTTTGGCGGATGGGTAGGGTTACTATGATGGATGGGTAGGGTTGCTATCGGGGATGGGTAGGGTTACTATAGGGGATGGGTAGGGTTACTACGCTGGATGGGCAGGGTTACTGGGTAGGATTTGTAGGGTTACTATGGTGGGTGGAAAGGGTTGCTATGGTGGTGGAAAGCGTTTTTATTGTGGGAGGAAAGGGGTGCTATGGTGGGAGGAAAGGGGTGCTATGGTTGGAGGAAAGGGGTGCTATGGTGGGAGGAAAGGGGTTGTATGGTGGGAGGAAAGGGGTGCTATGGTGGGAGGAAAGGGGTTGTATGGTGGGTGGAAAGGGGTGCTATGGTTGGTGGAAAGGGGTGCTATGGTGGGTGGAAAGGGGTGCTATGGTTGGTGGAAAGGGGTGCTAAGGTGGGAGGAAAGGGGTTGTAGTGTGGGAGGAAAGGGGTGCTATGGTGGGAGGAAAGGGGTGCTATGGTGGGAGGAAAGGGGTTGTATGGTGGGTGGAAAGGGGTGCTATGGTTGGAGGAAAGGGGTGCTACGGTGGGAGGAAAGGGGTGCTATGGTGGGAGGAAAGGGGTTGTATGGTGGGAGGAAAGGGGTTGTATGGTGGGTTGAAAGGGGTACTATGGTGGGAGGAAAGGGGTGCTATGGTGGGAGGAAAGGGGTGCTATGGTGGGAGGAAAGGGGTGCTATGGTTGGTGGAAAGGGGTGCTATGGTGGGAAGAAAGGGGTGCTATGGTGGGAGGAAAGGGGTGCTATGGTGGGAGGAAAGGGGTGCTATGGTTGGTGGAAAGGGGTGCTATGGTGGGAGGAAAGGGGTGCTATGGTGGGAGGAAAGGGGTGCTATGGTTGGTGGAAAGGGGTGCTATGGTGGGAGGAAAGGGGTGCTATGGTGGAGGAAAGGGGTGCTATGGTGGGAGGAAAGGGGTGCTATGGTGGATGGAAAGGGGTGCTATGGTGGGAGGAAAGGGGTGCTATGGTGGAGGAAAGGGGTGCTATGGTGGAGGAAAGGGGTGCTATGGTGGAGGAAAGGGGTGCTATGGTGGATGGGTAGGGTTACTATGGAGGGAGGAAAAGGGTGCTAAGGTGGGTGGAAAGGGGTGCTAAGCTGGGAGGAAAGGGGTGCTATGAAGGATGGGTAGGGTTACTATGGTGGGAGGAAAGGGGTGCTAAGGTGGGAGGAAAGGGGTGCTATGGTGGATGGGTAGGGTTACTATGGAGGGAGGAAAGGGGTGCTAAGGTGGGAGAAAAGGGGTGCTATGGTGGATGGGTAGGGTTACTATGGTGGGAGGAAAGGGGTGCTATGGTGGGTGGAAAGGGGTGCTATGGTGGAGGAAAGGGGTGCTATGGTGGAGGAAAGGGGTGTTATATTAGTTTAGTATTAATGACATGGTTGGTATGAAAGCCCTTATTATGGAGGAAGATATTTTTATTTAGATAAAGTGTTGAAAACATCGAAACATGTCACTTAAGGTCGACACATTCAAAAAACGGTATGGAACATTTCTATTGAACTAGAAGACATGTGAATACGATTTGTTTTCAAAACAGCAAATTTGGGATCTCTGCTGACAAATTCTACAACTGCTAAATAAACGCAACAAACCCCATTCTCCAATCATAAGAAATTTCTATTTAAAGCAGAGTCCATTGTACGATTCCGATATAAACATGAATTAGTCTTAATGATTCAATATTTTTTGTTCCATCTCCTAGCAATATTGACCCACATATAAAATTGCTACTATATTAAATAAGAATAGGTTTGCAAACTAATACCACTGACCAAAATGGACTTTAGTACGTCCAAATCAATGTGTAGCTTAAGAAGAAAATGAACTAAATACTCAAGTAAACACACGCACGAACATAGATTAATTGTCTTAAATAAACGTCGAATAATTATACTAATTGTTTTAGATCTCAAAGGGTATAGTCGCGTTAACGTGCATGACACTAAACGGTATTATTGTGTAATCCGTTATCAAATAGATAAGTATATAAGAAAGTATGGCAATCCCGTGTCCTTGCTGGCACAACATGCTCGATAACTGTCGCATAATCTTGGCATATGGTGTTTAATACGTGTCGGTTGCGTTCAGTCGTGATGGATAATAAAACGCCGTGAAATACACCGTCTCTAATGCCACATCACATTTAAAAGAATGTGCTTGTCACGGCCGTAAACAGAACAGAGAGGCAGCGAGAACCTCTCCTTGCGGCCGCCCTCCTGACCTAGAAACCCACGGCGAGAGACAGAGATGTCACATGATTTCGACATAAGGCCAACCCACTTCATCAACCATCCATACCGTCCCGTACACTTCGTTCCATCGGTGAGATGGGGGACTGTACGGGGTAGCAGTACTAGTGGGTATTACATAGCACAATGACAGTCAATCTGTAAGAAATGATAGAGAATAAGCCTGTCAACTGACCTGATTAGACTCCCGCTCCCTTCTACTCAATGTGTGTTATCAGGTTGAGCTAACCCTAGTCCGCTGTTTACCTAAGCTCACTAAAAATAGCACCTGCATGATATTTCCTATAGTGTTGTGTCGTATAGACCCGATTCAATACGTTGTCTTCGTTGTACTGTCGTTTATACACGGGGACAATGCATATATATTTTATGCTGTTTCTATTTGGAGGTGTCGGGTAAATAAATTGTACATAATGAGTGTCGATCGAGTCTTCTCGGGCTATTTTCTAATAGGACGGTAACTGATTTCAAATAAGAGTATTTTTGGCTTTTACTCATCTACAGTAAACTACTGTTATAACGAACACAAAAGGAGCACTAATTTTAGTTCGTAATAACCGTAGTTCGTTAAACGCATTTATACAACAAATGGCCGGGACTAAAAAATAAGTTCGTTATATCGGTCAGTTCGTTATAAGCGTGTTCGTTATAAACGTAGTTTACTGTTTGTTTTTAGTAAAGTAAGACAAGTTATTGGCTTTGTAAATATTGGCAAGTGAAATGTAATATGCATATCAGTATGGATTCTCAGACAGTTACGAATAAAATTAAATATGACTTGCAAAATAATGCAGTTGCTGGGAATATAATTATACACGTTTTGTAAGGCAAGCTTCATATGTAATAGGGGCGGTCAGGTAGCCTAGTGGTTAAAGCGTTAGCTCGTCGCGCCGAAGACCCGGGTTCGATTCCCGACATGGGTACAATGTGTGAAGCCCATTTCTGGTGTCCCCCGCCGTGATATTGCTGGAATGTTGCTAAAAGCGGCGTAAAACCATACTCACTCACTCACTTACTTCATATGTAACAGACATGATAGGGGAATGGGTGGCCCTGTCATCTAAGGCGCGGCAATTCACGGTGCAGAGTGGCGTCCCTTGGTTACGCCAGAAACCTCAGATTGTCAGTTCGAATCCCGGTTCGTCCCGATTATGTTTCAAGGTTTGTCAGCATCTTACCGGTGTTGTTGAGTTTCACCAAAGTGGTAAACATCTAAGACCTGCAGTACTTCGGGCTTTGCTCCCACATCCACCTGCCACGCCGTGATATCTATACCTGGAATATTGTTCATAGCGGCGTTAAACCCCACTCACTCATACAAATGTACCCACGAATATGCAACATATCTCAACTTAGAACCCTACATAAAAGTACACTATTGCATTCCTCATTGCCTCAACAGCGGGGGTGGTTGCAGTCACATTTGAAAAAACTAGTTGCAGAAGGCATTACAGTAAACTACGGTTATAACGAACTCAAAGGGACAACTAATTTTAGTTCGCAATAACCGTAGTTCGTTATAAGCATATATTCAGCTTACAGCTGTTTACAGCTACAAACATGATGAACACTCTTCAAAGCTATTCATATTTACCCACCCAATCAAATACATTAGGGTACTTCAAACTATTACCTTTAAGTATTTGATCATAAAATTTATGAAAAGTGTGATATTCTACTACGTGTATTTGTGAATTGTGTATTTCAGAATTTGCGAACATAAGGAATCGGCCACCATCGCGTGCTTGTGTTTCTTCTCCAAACATACCACTGAATATATGTCATTGATTCATTCATGTAATTTTCATCACTATTTTGGCTTTAACGCACTTTTACGCACTATTATGCCTTCAACGCACAGATAGTTGCACTGGCTGGACATTCTCTGGCGTTGACAATGTATATTAATTACCAAGGACGAAGATCTTTGAGAATGGCGAAGCTTGTCACATGTTGGCAAGGTAGCAGTGATCAATAGTGATCCATATCTGCAGACTAACTGAACACTTGATATCTTCTCTTAATATGTGTACCATAGTACGCACGAATAACGATCGAAACGCTTCAAATGAAAAGAATTTTTAGTTTATGTATTATGAAACCTCGAACTATTACTTGCAGAAAATCGAATATCAGCAGCCATATTGGAAAACTCAACTGCATGTCGTTAATGTTTGCCTACTTTACACTATATTTTCTGTAAGTATGGTATACAGGAGGATCTTAAACATTTCCCCGATTATGTAAATTAACTTCATAATAAAGCTGTGAATGGAGACAACACCCATGTTTACGTCTTTGCTGTGGCAGTTTTTGCAGGTTGTCTCTGAGTTTGGCTAAAATTACAACGTCAGTATAATAAGGACAGTAAATATCTCATGCATTATTCTCTGTATGTATATTACTTAGGTCAGAACTAACCCAATTGCTTCACATTTTAATGGCTCTATCTCCCGTAAATATAAACCAAATATGACGAAACAGCCTTTAGCATTAGCATGTCAGAATCTATGTGCAAACCCATATATTTGCATCCTTCTACTCCGATTTAAATATGATGGATACAGCGGAGATTTTGTGTTCTTGTTTAAATTTGTTACTATAAGATAAGGGGGGTTGTTTAAGTCACGAAATTTCAATTTCAAAATATTTCTCAATAATTGAGGTGAGTTACATGTAGAGAAAATCTATTTGATTAAAAACCTATTCCCAATTTTTTTTTAACTTTGCAAAAAATAATGGATGTGTCAAAAAATCTTCAAAATGTGTTCTACAAAATCGAGCGTTACTTTAGTGTGTACCAACTTTGGAGAAATGTTAAATAATTAATATCAGAATGTGATTTCTCTAAGGCGCCAGTAAAGACACAAGTCAATCAGAACGCCAGTGTTTTGTAATTCATTACATTTGGTGATAAGACATTTCGTCATATTGTTTATTATTCGTGTAGTGTCATTCCATCATTTCGTATGATACTTAAACTGGGCGGACGGGTAGCCTAGTGGTTAAAGCGTTCGCTCGTCACGCCGAAGACCCGGGTTCGGTTCCTGACATGGGTATATGTGTGAAGCCCATTTCTGGTGTGCCCCGCCGTGATATTGCTGGAATATTGCTAAAAGCGGTGTAAAACCATACTCACTCACTCACTCACTTAAATGTATGTGGGTTTGTGTCAGAACTGTTTGGTTGCTGGTAAACACAACACGACGAAATATATCTGGTCGTGATGAACGCCGGAGCGCCACCTGGCCAGCTGGTTAATATCGCCTACTTCTATACACAGACGAGTTCGGTCTTTTTTTACCTTTATCCGTAGGTGTGAACACATCTCCAGTGACGTCATAGAAAAAAATCAATTTCCGCCACATACAGCAATTATTTTTTGTATCGAACGTGTACCGTTATACACAGGTATGTAGATCCATTTCATATATCATATTGTCGTTCAGATCTATGGCAGTATTATGTGCACAGTTTAGGTAAATCAGTCAAATAAAAAAATATCGCCATTCTTTTGCAAAACACTTTTTCAGACAACTCTCCGTACTGTCTCAGCGGTCGATGAACCTCAGCTGGAAATCTAAAAAAATGACTGAGACACCATGAATTATTTGGTGTCCTGTGTGGATATATGCAAATTATTAATTTTATACCCCAGAAAGGAAAGTTAATATTCTTTGTCTCTGCATAATTGGACCGTTAATGGCCACAATTCATGCACGATTTTCCTTTTTCAGAAATTTGCATCTGACAATTAACTAGAAAGAACTTTGCGGCGCTAGTCTCATTCACATTATCCGAAAAGAGTTCGCGAAATGTCGTAAAATGATATTTAATTCACTTTTCATCAGATACTGAACGTTACAAATCTTTGATGATGTGTCTTTCAGACGATGACACTCTAATGCATTGCTTCTAACTGGCGGTGAAGTGATTTAATATGTGTCGGTAAACGTCAGTTCGTGTTGGGCAGTAAATGCAAAATGAAAGTACCAGCCATCCAAATTACCACTTAGGTCACAAACCAATAAAAGAGAGTGAGTGAGTGAATTAGGTTTTGCTCCGCTTTTAACAATAGTCTACCAATATGACGTCGGGAGACACACATAGTACCCACGTGAGGAAATGAACCCGGATCTTCGGCGTGACGAGCTAACGCGTTGACCTCTTGACTACCCTCCCTCCGTCATATCTGCAAGAAAAAACATTAATCGTTTTTTATGAACACAAATGTTATGTGAACGCGACATTTCTGTCCTGAAATATATATGCCAAATACAAAACGTTAACATAAGTATAAACATGTAAAATAGCAATGGGAGATTGTTCTGTTTATTTGGAGGGGCGGTCGGATAGCCTAGTGGTTAAAGCGTTCGCTCGTCACGCCGAGGACCCGGGTTCGATTCCCGACATGGGTACAATGTGTGAAGCCCATTTCTGGTGTCCCCCGCCGTGATATTGCTGGAATATTGCTAAAAGCGGCGTAAAACCAAACTCACTCACTCACTCTGTTTATTTGGAGGGGCGGTCGGGTAGCCTAGTGGTTAAAGCGTTCGCTCGTCACGCCGAAGACCCGGGTTCGATTCCCGACATGGGTACAATGTCTGAAGCCCATTCCTGGTGTCCCCCGCCGTGATATTGCTGGAATATTGCTAAAAGCGGCGTAAAACCATACTCACTCACTCTGTTGATTTGGCGAATTCCCAACTGCACAACACTATTGGCACAGCACGCCCTTATATATAGTGGGGTAGCCTAGTAGGAAAAGCGTTCGCTTGTCACTCCGAAAACATGGGGTCTACTCCTAGTCGTGTGTTGTGTCTCCTGTCATGAAATTGCTGGAATATAACATAAACAGGCGGGGAAATTCCTGCTAGCTTCGTAAACGTGGCCTGCTTTGCTAAACATAAAGATTGAACGGTGCCTTCAGATATTTACATATCACACATTCTGAGTCGCAAACATCTGTCCGGTTTAAGTATGGTATTATCACCAGCCGGAAACAACTGATTAAACAGCTTGTACATTGTGGGCAGGAGAACAACGCGCGTGTGTGTGTGTGTGTGTGTTTGTGTGTGTGTGTAAGTGGGTTGGTGGGTGGGTGAGTGTGTGCGTGCGTGTGTGTGTGCGTGTGGGGGGGGGGGGGGGGGGGAGGGAGAGTGAGTGAGTGTTGGTGTGTAAGTGGGTTGGTGGGTGTGGGTGTGAGTGTGTGTGTGTGTGTTTGTGCGTGTGTGTGTGCGTGTGTGTGGGGGGGGGGGAGAGTGAGTGGGGGTGTGTAAGTGG